GTTCTGACGGAGCTAATCCCCTGATCTGGTCRATCGACTATCGAAAAGCGATCGTAGTAGCCAAGGTCCCTCTACTCAGTCTTTCCGGTAGCCTAGGTCTAGCTGAGCTAATTTCCTAATTGAGCCTTTTTGTGTAATGGCCAGGTTGAGTTAGTGCCAGAACGATGCTGGCCGGCGCTGGGGTGGTGCCCTGTAACCTGCTTGAGTAGGAGCTTGAGGCTTTGTATAGAGGTCTGGGATTGCCGAGGGAGGAAGGCGAYCTGCAAACTTGACTAATGGCTACAATCTGGCTGACGATGGTCGGAGCTGGGGTGGGTAGCGCTGCCCTGTAACCAAGCCAGATTGGGGTGTGAGACCAGGAAGAGGCCTGATTGGTGCACAGCACAGGCTCAGTTGAGATTGGTTGGCTGGAATGGATACAGGAAATTAGGGATWGGAYAGTTTTTGAGTGCTGAGTCGACAATCATTCTGATTAGTCATCATCTATCTCTTATCATCCTGAATCATCCTAAATCATCCTAAATGATCCTTAATCATCCCAAATTAGCATCAATGATCATCAATGATCATCAATCATGAATGTATTTCCATTATAAGGGACGTGGGGCCCGGTTCCCAGCACGTGCTGCTCCCCATGAATAGATTGGAGCAATTTATTAAAAAAATAAATAAATAAATTGACAGGGACCCAGTAGGATTCTCCGGCAACCCTTGTAATGCCCAGAAAGGTCCGATAACATCCGAGTAGGTTATGCTGGCCCAGGGCCTGCATGTATTCAGGTGCTAGAAGTGAATTACAGGCTGCGATGATGTTCCCGCCAAAAGCCGGGAACTTCCGGTAGAGGCTGAGGGTCCCGGTAGAGGTACTGGAGGCCGAGAGTCGTGAGTATACCAGTTCGTGCAATGGATAGCCAGGGAATTCATCCAGCAGTGATGTTGCTTCTCCACCCTGAGGGAGAGTTAGCCCGGAGCTCCAGGTTGAAGGAGGAGCTGGAGGTGAGAAAGAAGACCATGGCCATGGAGTAGTAGTATGAAGGTAGAGGGAGCAGAACTTCAAGAGCCATGAAGGCAGGTGTAGGAAGAGAGTACAGCTACTCAAAGATGGAGGGGGGAACCAACAAGAGAGACTTACCTTGGTCTATGTGGGACGTTCATATACACTTCCTTGGTTGGCGCTGCAACTGGAAAGGCCCTGTTTGCATACCGGTTGAACATGGACTTCGTCTGGGAGTGCGGCTATGGTGGAATGCGATGGGAGAAGCACAGTAAAAGCTGTGTTGTCCTTTAAACATCTGTGCTGGACATGCATGAACCACAATAGCTAGATATCCGACCTTGAGGATAGGAGTAAGAGTGAGTCCGATAAGAGACCCTTTGAGTGCCGGCAGGAAGGGGAATTACTTTGGCATTGGTTCTTGTCATTCATTCATTTATTGTTGTACTTTAATTGTTTTGTTTATAAGGGTAGGAGAAGACGATGTGAGGGAGATGATGATGGTGAGAGGAGGAGGAGACGGCATTGGTTCAATCTTGTGTATTTCTTCTTGTTCTTCTTTCCTTCTCAGTTCTCTTTCTTTCGTAGTCTATTTCCAGTTGTAAAATTGCGATGTCTCAAAGATGAGTCTTGCATTGGGAATTGAGAAGGATCATAAGTTTCATATCACATGGCTGCTTCTCTTCTCCAGAAAGGGAACATACGAGATGAGGACCAGGAGGCATCTGTCGTCAGCCAGTCCATGTGGCAGACATAGTCAGCAGGAGGTGGGTTCAGCACATGGGACAGGAGCTACCTAGTACCTGGGGCACCTCCAATACGGTGGAGTGCGGTATTGTCCATCTGAAACCCTAGAGTGCACAGGCAATGACTGCTGATCCACTGGGMGCTACCACTGAACCAGTGGCTGGCGCAGCACAGGGACCCGCGCTGCGTGCAGCCCCTGGATGGCCTTTGCCAGAGATGCGACGAAGCCTCAACAGAGGACATCRTGCATTGCTTTCTATCCTGCCTGGAGGCGAGCCTCGTCTGGAACCGTGTGCTCTGCCTTTGGACGGAGTTGACCACCCTCCCCTTTCCAGATCAGTCATCCCTCCTACTTACGGGGTTGACCTCTCCACCGTCCTTGCCCCCTTACCATCGTCTGCTCTTTTCCAGACTGCACCCTTTATCACTCTGGGTCATCTGCAAGAGCCGGTGCACAGCAGTCCTTGGAGGTCTGCAACAGCACGCCAGCCAGTCCTGGCAGGAGGTGGGTTCAGCGCATGGGACAGGAGCTACCTAGTACCTGGGGCACCTCCAATACGGTGGAGTGCGGTATTGTCCATCTGAAACCCTAGAGTGCACAGGCAATGACTGCTGATCCACTGGGCGCTACCACTGAACCAGTGGCTGGCGCAGCACAGGGACCCGCGCTGCGTGCAGCCCCTGGATGGCCTTTGCCAGAGATGCGACGAAGCCTCAACAGAGGACATCRTGCATTGCTTTCTATCCTGCCTGGAGGCGAGCCTCGTCTGGAACCGCGTGCTCTGCCTTTGGACGGAGTTGACCACCCTCCCCTTTCAAGATCAGTCATCCCTCCTACTTACGGGGTTGACCTCTCCACCCTCCTTGCCCCCTTATCATCGTCTGCTCTTTTCCAGACTGCACCCTCTATCACTCTGGGTCATCTGCAAGAGACGGTGCACGACAGTCCTTTGAGGTCTGCAACAGCACGCCAGCCAGTCCTGGCAAGAGCTGATGCAATCACTGAAGACGGAGTGCCGGGCCGATTAAAGGAGGACACAGCATCGGATCAGGGGGAACCCGCTCGCAGCTGAGGAAACGAGAAGGAAAATTTGGGAGGAAGTACTCGGCGGGGGCAGGATAGCCACCATCGTGGGGAAAGAATTGCGGTTCCGGTGGCCCCTTCTTCCCAGTGACCACAAGCCCAGGCAACAGGTCGTTGAGGGTACACAGCTCGGGGCCACGTCAGGCTCGCCGACCCACAGCCCCACATCGCATTGACTCCCCCCGAACCTGTTGATTCAACCTCGTCAGCCTGGCTGCCACCCTGTTGCTAGTATGCTGGAGCTCAGGCTGCTGGGCCAGCCCTGGTCATACCCGCCCCTGGGGTCTCCCAGGGGTGCCAGTGCTGTGCCGGGGAAGGATTGACTGGCTGGGACATCCCAAAGTGCCCGGGGGAGCACCAAGCGTGGACGGGCGGCATGACAGAGCCAGAACATCGCCGTGCGGAACAGCTCGGGATAGCTTGCAGACTTGAACCGCACAGGAGATAGGAGCAGCTCGGGACAACCTCCAGAGTCAGTGGAGGGGATGGAGTGAGCGAATTGGTCTTGGAATACAGGACGATATCACAGAGGGAAGCGGTAAGAGTATACTGTGCCTGGAGGTAGCCGGCAGGCTTGGCAGAAGGTGCAGAGGCAGCTAAACTCTTTTAGTACAGTATCCCCTGTGGTTAGCATGGTCTAGGAGAAGTTGTCATTGGACCAAAAGGCCAAAGCTGAAGCCGGGTAATGGCCCAGGCAGAAACACAGTCTTGTACTGCGATGCTGGACCCGGTTTCCAGCAGGTGCAGCTCCCCACCAATCGACTGGAGCCTTCTGCGCAGCACCCTACCCTGGGGGGGTGCTCGTATCATCTCCCAGGATCAGGACCCTTCACCAAGTTAAAAAAAGAAAGAGAAGACGAGGACCAGAAGCCCTATCAGCTTGCTGCAGGCTCAGGAAGTGGAGTCTGGGGTAGTGGGGCAGATATCTTCTGGCGTGCGAGAAGATTTGGGTTATGAGGCTGGGCAACTGTAGTCGAAAAGCTCAGGTATGAGGGGATCTGGACTGAGGATAGCTGGAAGTAGAGCAGGATTGTTTGGAGCGCTAGGACACCTGTTCCTGAGGAGGAAATGCAATGCTCTGTATGTGAGACACAGTAAGTGTGACTGCTGCAAAGGAAACACTGTCTCTTTCCAGGATTTCCCCCCTCTCTTAGCTTCCTTGTTTGTCAATCCGCTTAAACCACCAGTTCCTCCAACCCTCTCTTGGTAACTTCGTTGTTTGTCATGCCACTTCACACAACTCCACAAAAAAAGCATGACTGTGCCAGACTGTTTCGTCGGACTGTCACCAACTCATGAGGAGGTTGGAACCTGACAGTCTGCCCAGGATGCATTTGACTGATGGATAAGGACTCACCACTTCGCCCAGAGTTAGCAATACTCCTGGGAAAGTGGTCGACTTTACTCACAACCACCCTGCAATTCTAGCAGACTCTGTGTGTGTGTGTGTGTGTGTGTGTGTGTGTGTGT